CAGATTCCTTTGTAGGGCAGAATAGGCCTTTATCAGGGAAAACCCCTTATATTGTGTCTCAATATTTCTTGTCTATCAGTACAACTACATATATACATATAATGTATGAAGACTACTTACTGTTTGTAGACTATTATGATACAGGACGCAGGCCCGGCATTCCATTGGGTAAGAGGAAGGATTGTATTGGGCCAGAAATTCAACATTTGAATAGCTACAAAAATATTAGAAATAATTTCCACACGAAGTGCTAGCTTTTGAAGGCACTGCTGGGAAAAAAATTACAGGAATATCATCTTTTGAAGGGAGTAAAAGGCAAGAAGAAAAAAAATCAATCATCAGTTAAAATGCATGTTTATTCATTATGGAATGGATGCCTCACTATATCACTTAAAATATTGTAAGGACTATACCTTTTGTACTTATTACATTTACTGTTTCTATTTTTTATGGGTCATCACAATTCCTTTACAAGTGAATCGAATAGAGAGCTTTTTTGAATTAACAGTTTACAGCTTTCACTGATTCCACCAAATTCAATTTTTATTTCTACAACTTACAACATTTTAATAAAAAGCCATATTATTATTATAAATGTTCTATATTTTTGAAGTTTGAAATTATCAAAACTTTTTCTGCCTTGTACTTAGATATAGAACAATCTTTAAGCAAACTTTTTCTATCACTTTATATCGCTCAGCATTAATGAAAACTTAATACAACATCACTCTTTTCCATAGATGGTGTATCAATACTCGATTATTTCACATATGCTTTGTACTTGTATCACCAAAAGATATACAAAATAAATGAAGACACAAGTCTGTTACAAAATGTGTTGCTTGTTCTTTTTAATGTGTTGAAGAATGCATTTGTTTGTCATAATGTATGGGTTCAAACATGACTATTTATAAATCAGATATGAAGCAGGCGAAGAAAAGTTACTTATCCTAATCAGGTGTGCTGGTGACGACCATGTGAATGAAATCATAAAATATTTTTTTCAATGAGCAGTGGCAATGCTCAGAAGTGGGGAAAAGGATAAACAGTACTTTTATATTAAAGGCAATTTGTTAAATTGATCTTACTAAAACTATTCATGAAAATGTCAACATTAAGTTGCTACCGACTACACGACGCCTTTTCATGTAATGTACCAGTCGACGAACTTCGAAGTGGTACTTATTTTGCAGCTCCCCAAAGACATATTTTTTTGGAAATGACAAATGTTGCATTTTAACTGCATTTTCACTTGTCAGTGCAGAACATGAATTTATCATGTGCAGGTCTTAAGCCCAATCTTTGTCTTTTGACTGTTGTTTTCAGTTAAGTTACTTAGTTAGAGACTTTATTATAGGTACCTTCTACATGATTAGTATAAGATTACCCGCAAGTGATTTACCATGATAGATCAGCAGACTCGATATGGTTCGTTCAGGGATTATATTCATAATTCATGTCTTACCCGTGTGCATGCGTAATTAAAAAATCTGGTACTATTGTACCATCTGAGTGCAAACTCAAACTCACGTATGTGTTGTAACAAAAAAGAAAGTAAAAAAAAAACAAAAAAAGAAAAGAAAAAACCCCCCACCCCACCAGATGACTCGTCAGACTGTTAGCTTTTCAACTTGTTTCTATTTTGCATTTGAACTGTTCATTGTGTGTGGTCTTTTTAATCTGATATGGGCGTTCACTCAGCAAGTCTCTCGTACAGCATGTGGTGGATGACCTGATTTGATCCATCCCAAATTTGCATTCTTGGACTACACGAAAATTTGTTTGAGTAGTCTTCTATCACGGATGGGATAATTGAGTTAGGATTCTTCGTCTCAGACAACCTTATTGAAAAATAGTTAGTTCTAGGAAGTCCTTGGGTAATTTCATTCTCTCCATGCCATTCTCCAAAATGCATCAAAGTTAGGAGCTTTTGCTTGAGGTCAACGTTATTTCAAGACGAATACTCGGGTGGATGGAGGGCGCTATTGAATGACCCTACTCTTTTACTTTACCTTGTCAGCTTTCTGTCGGTCTGTCGATCTTGGTCTAACACTGCTGGTGTCTGTAGAATAGAGGTTAGGTCCTTCTCTGTCGAATGCAGAAGACCCGAGTTTGATTCTCATGTGGCGAGAATTTTTATCGAGATCAAGTATCTTGGTATTCTGTTAGAACGATACATGAAATCCGGGTTGACCCTGACAGACAGGGTAGAAAACTTCCTCCTAAAATTTGATGATCTAAACTATATCGATGGGGGTATTATAAAATCCTCCGCTAAAAATTGTCTTTAGTCTTGCTTTTTTTTTCCAGCTCTAACTGGCTGTTTTCGTGTTGATGTTCTCCTCCTTACTCAAAGTCATACAGAATACACTCATTTATTGAGTCGTTGGTCAAATCACGAAACAGACAGGAAGAAATAGTAACTTCAACAGACGTCTTTATCGTTTTGATGCTTCTTTTAATCTTATTCAACGTTAAGAGACAATCTAAGGAGCAGGGGTGGGAAATCATGCTGTCTACTACAGAGATAAATAACACACATTGGGGCTCACTCATTCATATAATTGAGGAACTCCTAATCGGAGATTTAATCTTCGGACTTTTCGGAGTCACGCGCACACACACACACACACACACACACACACACACACACACACACACACACACACACACACTATTAAGCACATGCACACACCCCTCCCACCTCTCCACACACACACACTCACACACACACACACCCCCACCCATACCCTTACATCCCCGCCCCACCCCTTCCCTCCCTCACACACGCCCACCACTCTTCCAGAACAATAATATATCCACTAGACAAACAAGAAAAATGGGGGAAAAACCCAACAAAAAAAAACAAAAAAAAATAGAAATGGAGACAGAGGACGAAAATAGCTACCTCCAAACTCTAGGAGCAGTAACCCAAACAACTGCATACGACAAAGAGTAGCCTACAGCCTGACCACCACCACAGCGATCGGCACTAAGTCCTCCCTGCGATCGCTTTAAAATGCTTCTTTTTAAATGAAATATCGCGTAGAAAACGTTCTATGGCTAATGGGCTTACTATAAATATGACATTATCGAGCTTCTAAAACGTTTGCATACAAATTGGGTCATCCAAGCAAATCGTTCCTTCCTGTGTGTAACCCCCGC